GCAGAATTGGGATTTAGGGTTTAGGGTTTAGGGTTTAGGGTTTGGGGTTTAGGGTCAGAATTGGGAGTTAGGGTCCGGATGGGCGCTGGTGATGATCGACTGCAACTCAGTCATGTCTGCCGCTGAAGCAGCAGTTCATCCACCTCCGCAACGGGTCGAATGCACCACAGGTACGAGTTTCAGCAGGCCCTGCTGCGAGATCAAAACAATTAGAGTTGGTGCACGCCGAAACAAGGAGGGATGGGGGCAGGAATTCGCAACACAGCAAAGACAGAATGGCAGTTGCCCGGCGACCTACATCAAGTTGGAAGACGCTTCCTTTTCTTTGCAACCGCAGCCATGTTTGACAACTCAAGAAAAGCCTCACTCGAGAAACGTCATAATTTACAGCGGAAGTATTGCTTAAGAATTCATTGCTTAAGAATTTGAGGGGCTGAATTTCGACGCACATAGTGATAATTCACCCATGGGCGGTGTGCCTTTGACTTAAGAATTTGAGCCCCCCCTGAAATCTGGACCCAGATTCTTAACTCCTAGGGTTGTGCACAAGCAGGTCCTGGTGTTGGAAACCTCCAAATTAAGAATCTGAGCCCTCAGATTCTTAGCCCCTGCACCTGTACACATGGAAACCTCCAAATTAAGAATCTGAGCCCTCACATTCTTAGCCCCTACACCTGTACACAAGCAGGTCCCGGCGTGGAAACCTCCATATTAAGAATCTGAGCCCTCAGATTCTTAGCCCCTGCACCTGTACACATGGAAACCTCCAAATTAAGAATCTGAGCCCTCAGATTCTTAGCCCCTACACCTGTAAACAAGCAGGTCCCGGCGTGGAAACCTCCAAATTAAGAATCTGAGCCCTCAGATTCTTAGCCCCTGCACCTGTACACATGGAAACCTCCAAATTAAGAATCTGAGCCCTCACATCGCTTCACCATCGGACATTGCAGAGACACCTATGTTCTGAAGACTGTTGTTTGGAGCAGTGGTATATCGAGCTCTTCAGTGGCTGTGGTACTTGGTTCAAGCCCTCAGCTAAGAATGTACTAAGAATCTGAGCCTCCCTCGAGGCTGCGAGGCGGCTGAAAGACGTGAATGTCACAGACAAGCAGACTTAAGAATCTGAGCCCCCCCTGAACAGATCCCAGCAAATTCTTAACCAACGCTTTCGCTGTATCAAGTGCCTGTTAAAGAAAACGGTATCGACAAGCATTTCATCTCGCGAGAAGGGCACCCTAAAGCCAAACTCGAAACCTTACACAAAACCACTCCTCCGGCCGTGATGCCTCCAAACATCGCGGGAACTTACCATAACCCCTTGAAGGCCTCTCTCTCTTCTGGGTTTCGGATTTAGGGTGTAGAGGTTTGGATTTATGGCGTAGGGAGTGTTTAGGAGAAAACGTGCAACTCTGCCCAATCTGGGCCATGCACGGAGGCATCCGCGGTCACGCTGTCTTCCTGCCATCTCAATATGGGAGTTTCCGAAAATAGGGGACCCTAATATAGTACCTTAAATCGTGGGATTCAAATTACCAGGACCCCAAAATAAGTTACCCCCTAATTTTCGGAAACCCCCATATCTCGGGGCAACGCCTGTCCTGTATGTCGGTTTAGGGTTTAGGGATCTGGTATCTTATTCTGGGTGAATGCATCCCTATTCTACTTCCCCTAAACCCTGAAGCCTAAACCCTATTCTCGTTCCCCTAAACCCTAAAACCTGGGTCACGTTGCACTAGAGTAGAAGCCCAAAAGTTGGAAACCTAGTAGCCTCAATCCTTAAGAGTCATGTAAACGGAATCCCGGCACTATTTGGCCTTAATCCGGTTTCCAACTTTATGGGGTTTACTATACGCCCGGATGTCCTCTTCTTCCGCGCCGAAGGGCTTGCAGGCTCCTGACCGAATCCGTCTGAAGTGCGCGGTCGCCAGCCCTACATCCAAAGCCTCAAACCAAACACCCTGAACCCTAAACCTTACCTTTGGTTAGTAGGGAATGGAGGAATGGGGTACAATTACAACTACTATTACTACCGTTCTTCCATTCCCTACTAACCAAAGGTAAGAAACCCCGACCCGAAAACCTGAATCCTGAACCTCAGAGCTTTGGTGTATCCACAACAAAACTTACGAAAGCTTCATCTCCTCCTCCGCCGGATCATCTTCCTCAGCCATGGGGAGCGGGGGTTTCGTGTTGAGGGTTTACTTGGAGGATCATGGGACTTAGTAAGGAAGGTTATAAGTACCTTAATTGGGGTTATAAGTAGTTATAAGTATAGTTACCCTAATTATAACCCTAGTTACTAAGTCCCATGACCCTTTAAGTAGGGATTTGGGTTGTGGCTTGAGAGGTTTGGCGCTTAGGGCATTAGACCACCGCCGTCTGCAGCTGAAGGACAGCGTTGCTGTCATTGTAGGGTTTAGGGTTTAGGGTGGTGTTGCGGGATGTTGCAGGAAGCATTGTTGACCGTCGACCGTCCCTCGCAGACTTGCGGACATCGTTTTGTGTTGAATGCCGTCTATTCTGAGGTCAACACCATTACAAACGACAGCTTTGGTCACGACGATGAACACTGACTGTGGCTGCGAGGCCGCTGCGGCCGCCGACGCGCTGCTGAAGCTAATGATTAGCAGCAGTTCTGCTGACGCCGCCGTCGTGCTCACGATGGTGATGACGAAGACGATGACGATAACGATAACAATGATGATGACGATGACGATGAGGATTGCATGATGATGATGATGATGATAATGATGCCGATGCCGACGCTGATGCTATTGTTAGGTGATGGTAGTGGCGGCGGCGGAGGCAGTGGTGGTAGCGGCGGCGGCACGGGGGCGCCAACACGGGCCAGGCCGTGGCGGAGTCGGTGGCGGTTGGGTTGGAGTTACTGCAATTGCTGCTGCTGGTGTTGATCGTGTTTTGGGGGTTCCTTATTAACAAAAAAATAGTTTAATATACCCCAAAACCCAATTCTAATTATTCAAGCCCCTACACACCCTTGTAGAACCCTTTGAAGGGACCTATTCTAACTATTAAGGCCCCTATATACATTATGAGATTCTGCGAGGCCGACCCTCCCCCAGTCCCAGACCCGGCCTCGATCACATCATCCTCCGGCTCCTCCTCCGGCTCTTCCTGCGCAAGGGGCTTAGGTTCTAGGGTTCAGGGTTTAAGGTTTAGGGTTTAGGGTTTAAGGTTTAGGGTTTTAGGGTTTAGGGCTCAGGGTTTAGGGTTTTAGGGTTTAGGGTTTAGGGTTCAGGGTTTAGGGTGCAAAAGAAACAACTACTGGGCTCCTGTTAGGGAACATATTTTAAGTTGCCACTATATGGATCTAGAGTAAATAATATGGTTTCTTGGTTGATGCTAACTTATACTGAAACCCCTGAACAAGAACCCAGACTAATATCGGGCCTTCAAGATTAGAATGAGGTTTTGGGGGGCTCCTTTAACTGGAGTTTTCATAAAGAACCCGCCAAATAGTATGTGCAATTATTTGGGCTTCTACATTCTACGCTATGCGACCACGACCACAACGAGGGCAACGGCTGCCACCACTACCCCAAAGACTGCGACGCAGACATCAACTTTTCAACGGGTCCTTCGCCAAAAAAGTTTCCGGCTCGAAGATTGGTCTGTCGGGAAACACAATGGGGGGTTGGTGGAACTGAATTTATTACGCCTTTTAGGTGTTAAGGGTTTGGGACGGGTTTGGGCGTGATGGATGTTGCAAGTTGCAAAATGCGACCTCAACCCTAAACCTAAACCCCTAAACCCTAAACCCCCAGCTCCCTAAAACCTAAAGCCCCAAACTAAACGCCTTGACCCTAAACCCCAAAACCCCTAAACCTCTAAAGCCCTTGCCAAACGCTCCTCAGCCTCCTCCATTTCGAGGTCGTTGGCCTGCAGAACAACTCAGTGCACAATATAGGGGCCTTTATAATTCGAATGGGGTCCCTTTCAACGGGGTCTAGAAGGGTTACTACAGGGGACCTACACTAGGGCACTATAATGTAAGGGCCTGAATAATTAGAATAGGGTTTGGGGGTCTATTGTACTACAACTATAATAAGGAAGCCCCAAAACCCTATTCTAGTTATGAAGGCCTTTACATTCCGTTCTATACGGTCCCTAAACCGGAAAGCTCAACTGTTGAAGGCTAACACGAGTTCTGAGAGCTTCGAACATGTCAAAATGCAGAGCATCCCAACGGGCTTTGATCAGAATCCCTACGGTTTAGAGTTTAGGGTTTAGGGTTTAGGGTTTAGGGTTTAGGGTTTGCTCTGTTTTCGGCACTGGCTTGGAGTGTAGGACATCAGGTGAGAAACATCTCAGCAAGCCCCGATCAGACCCTATCTCTTTCAATCTACGACCGATACTCAAGATGTGATCAGAAGTCAGAAGTCTTCAAAACCCTACAAAGCCTATAAACCCTACAAGTCCTAAAAAACCTTATAAAACCCTACGAACCCTCTCACCCCCAAGCCCTAGGTCGAAACGCTGATTGTCACCCTGTCCCGGACTCGGGTGCTGCGCTTTAAGGCCTAAGGCCCAAAGTTTAGGGTTTAAGGCTTTTTAGGGTGCAGGGCCTCGGGAGAAAAGGTTCTTGGATTTGGAGTTTAAAGTTTGTAGTTTAAGGTTTTTTAGGGCTTAGAGCTTATAGGGTTTTGGGTCTAGAAGTCCTTGCGGCTCGAGCGTACGAATGTTGAGTGCGATACATGCGCACGCACGATGCTCGCTGCTAGATACAGCACTACTGTTGTACTGCCGACGCGTCACACCAGAGAAGGCACTGCAGCTGACGGCAGTCTGCTAGATACCGCAGAATCGAAACTCTAAACCTCTACAGCGAGTTCCAGAAAGTTGGAACATGGGTTTAGGAGGATCAGTGCTAGGATCCATTATGCTTTGCCTTAAGGGCAGAACGAAAAATGATGTTCCAACTTTCTGGCTTCTACTGTACGTAAAGCCCCTCAACGCGGACCCTTCAGCCTGACCTCGTTCTAGCCACTAACCTCGAGCCGTAGATTCGTCGCCTCGTCCGTGTCTCCCAGAAGCACGTCCATCGTGCGCTTGAGGGCGGCCTGGGAAGCTGGTTTAGGGTCTGGCTAGGGTTTGGGGTTTAGGGGCTTTAGGGTTTAGGGGTTCAGGGTTTAGGGTTTAGGGTGTAGAGTAGGGTTGCGGGCTTAGGGTGAAGAATCTAGGAACGGGCTTGAAGTTGTGTGAGGAGGATCTAGGACGTGGAGGGTGGACAGCTCAGGGATTGGAAACAAAGCAAGCGGCACTGTGATTCTAAGTTGCTGTGGTGGTGGTGATGATGATGATGTCGTCGATACCGACACCGACGCTGACTCTGATGCCGAGGAGGAGGAGGAGGAGGAATGAAAGAATAAGAAGAAGAAGAAGAAGAAAAAGGCAGTGGGCAACAGTGCAATCCGACAAGTCGAAGTGGCGACACTGGCAAGCACGGTAAGCACAGCAATGAGAATGGACATTCTACCATTGCTACGAAGACCATTAAAGTGCAGCGGGACAAATACTAGAAAGAGGAGCAGGAGTAGCAGGACAAAGAGGATATCGCGTAGAAAAAGGGAAACCTAGCAAGAGCAGCAGGAGCGCGGCAGTGGCACAGCAAAAACTGAAGACCAATTATCCCAAGCACGAGCTTTCCACAGAAGCTGAAGCGATCCTCTTGAAGAGATCCTGAAACAGGTTATCTCGAAGTCATGCAAGCCCTTACACAAAGAAACTCCAATCATTTGCAGAATCGGTTGAACATCGGCATCATGGAGTTTCATAACCCTAAGCCTCAGACCCTAGAGACACTTCAAGCCCTAATCCCAAAACCCTAAACCCTAGAAGCCCTAACCCCTACACTCTAACACCCTACGCAGGCCGAACAAGCAACTACAAACCCCTACATAAATGCGCATGAACCCCGGTTTAGGGTTTGGGGCCACAAACGCGAGCCCGTATAGAACCCTTGCAAAAAACCCCTATAACACCCTGCAGCACCCTCATAGAGGCCCTATACAAGCCTTATAAAGACAGCCGAAGAGCACCCTAAAACATGAACCTTATCCTACACCCTAAAATCCTTAGCCCTACAGAACCCCAAACCCTAAAGCCTAAAATCCTAAACCCTATAGAACCCCAAACCCGAAACCATGGTAGAACCCCTCCAAAATTCCCCTAAACCCTAAACCCTGAACCCTAAACCCTAAACCCTAAACCTATACCCTAAACCCTAAACCCTAAACCTATACCCTAAACCCTAAATCCTAAACCCTAAACCTATACCCTAAACCCTGTAGAAAAGGGCCCTTAAAGCCTCGGCGGAGGTCGCCGGGGGCTCATCATCCCCGTTCTTCGGCGGCTCTTCGCCTTCCTCCCAGCAGCCGGGCTACCCCCCGAGACCCCCATGTCCCTTAATTAATTAAGGAATATACCTATCCGTACCTTCAAGGGTTCCTTAAAGGGATCTATAAGGGTCCCTCAATGAAACAATGAAAGAACTAGAACTCCTTTAAGGGATCTATAAGGTCTATAAGGCTTAGGGTTTAGGGGACTCCAGTACCCCTTGATCAAGGAATAGAACTTAAATCATATTCGGAATTGTACTATACTTGAAGGTATATTCCTACATTAAGGGATGTTGAAGTCTCTGTGTACCCTTTAGGGTTTAGGGTTGGAGAGTTTGAGGTTTAGGGTCTGCGAAAGTAGGGTTTAGGATCTAGGAGGTTGGGTTGAGGGTTCAGGGTTTCGGATGGTATAGGGTTCATGAGTTTAGGGTTTAGGGTTTAGGGTTTAGGGTTTAGTGTTTAGGGTTTAGGGTTTTAGGGTTTAGGGTTTAGGGTTTAGGGTTTAGGGGTATAGGGTTCATGAGGCTAGGGTTTAGGGATGAGCAGTTTGTGGGTTTAGGAGTTAGGTTTAAGGGTTGAAGAACCCTCAATGCCCTGAACTGCAGCTCGGTTATTTAAGGTGCCTAGGGAGTCAGACCCCTAAACACTTACAACCTGAACCTCAAACCCTTAAACGAAGGACCCTCAACTTGCGGCACAGGGTTTCAAGCCCCAGAGGCCGGTAAGGTACAGCGTGGCAAGACTGGATGTGCCCAGAGATCCCAATACCCCTTAATTAAGGAATATATCTGAAATTATAGAGGCCCTTATATTATGGTTTGAGGTATAGTCCTTAATTAAGGGGTACTGGGATCTCTGGGTGTAGCCATCCCCGTGAAACTGAAGGGGCTTGGAGTTCGGGAACTCGAAACGCCCCCTAGTTAAGGAACATAAGCTAGTGTAGGGGCCTGAACAATTCCACTGGGGCTTATTGTACTTATAGTACAGTATACCCCCAACCCTGTTCAAAATTATGAAGGCCCTTCTATTCGACTAGGGCTTCTTGTAATTGTAGTATAACATACCCCCAACCCTGTTAAAGATTATAAAGGCCCCTATGTTAGGCTTAAGGATGGAGCCGATGAAGAAGGAATCCCCAGTTGAGGGAGATTGGAGTCTCTCGGTCTTGGGTTTAGGGTTCAGTTAGGGTTTAGGGTTAAGAGTTTGCGGTTCAGAGTTTAGGGGTCAAGGTTTAGGGTTAAGAGTTTAGGGTTACGAGTTTAGGGTTTTTGGGTTTAAGGGTTCAGGCTTTAGGTTAAGAGTTTAGGGTTCAGAGTTTAGGGTTTTTGGGTTCGGTCTGGCCTGAATCGCCAGGCCACTGCTATCCTGAAGGATGAGGTCGAAGAGGAACGTCCTCGGCCGCGAACCCAGGGATTCCAGTAGCCCTTCTTAAGTATACCTTAAGTCATACTCGAGGTCCTACTATAATTTAAAGTATATCAGTACATTCCGTAATTGAGAAATCTATGGGAACAGTATAAGTATAGCTTTCATGTTCAGAAGGTTTCTGCAAGGCGTGCTAGACTGCTGCGTGCTACCACGATAACTACTTCGACGTCTACCTGTAATACCACAACCTGCCTTACTGCTGCGGTCTTCGCTTGAGTGCCATCACAAGAGTGCAAACAAAACACGTAGTCACCACCACCCACCACCCACCATCACCACCAAAACCCCCAACAACAACAATTCCCCCACCTCCCCCACCTCCACCACCCCAAGCACCATCATGTCACCACTACCACAACATGCACTGCGACGTCGAAGAAGGCGACAACGCCTCCGATCGACTAAGGTTGCGACTCAATCTAGCTAATGTTGCTCACCGTGAATGCTACGGCTGCGCCGGCTTCTAACACCCTGATCGTCAGCACCACAGCCACCGTCCCACTTAACCAATCTCTGCACCCTTAAAACAAAAATCCTTCGACCTTACTGCGGGACATTTCTAGTCTGGTCTGTCCGACGAGGGTCTTCTGCAACAGCGACTCGATGCGCGCCATGTGCCGTTGGGCATAGGACAAGACGTTGCCGCATGTGGCATTCATTCCTGCGTTGTAAGATCCAGTGTTTAAGAGCTTAGGGTTTGGGAATGCGGACATCACTTCAAGCTAGGGCCTTGTTATAATTATAACATAGTGTACCCCAAATCCCCATTCTAACTATTAAGGCCCTCACATTAAGTCCTAAATATATACTAAGCAGTGGATCCCGAGACTCCTAACATCCTACCTACAACGCCTAGAGTAGCCCTTTTTTGTAGCGTTTCGGGTTTAGGGTTCTGGGTTTAGGGTTTAGGATTTCGGGTTTAGGGTATAGTAGCCCGTACAGAAACCATATAACCCATGTGGAAACCCATATTGCAACGCCCATAATCTCTCTAAAGAAACACTAAACCGAGATGGGCCCCTATAAGTTTTCTCGAAGTCCTATCAAAGCCCGAAAATGCATCTTAACAACTATAAAAGCTCCTGTAAACCCCTATAAAACCTTCTGGAAACCTACCGGACGATTGCTGCTCAAGGGAGCGTGGGGCCTTCTAAGATCCGGTTGATCCACACATGCTTCTAGCACTCCTTATAGTAAACCTCTTTTTTAATACCCTTATAGTGACCATTCCGCTAGACACCCATGATACTCCTTGTAGCAACCGTTACCAAAGCCTCTTTCAAAAGTCCTTAGAAACCCTAAACTCTGAACCCTCACAACAACTCTCAAACCCTAAGCCGTCCTTCCAAAGAGGAGAGCTTGGTGGCTGGAACCTTCGGAAATCGGCGGAGGATGCGAGGGGCTTTGGGGATAAGGCTTGTTGCAGCACAGGGCTTCTACGTGCAGGGGTTTCAATGGATTCGTACGACATGCATGCAGCTAACCAGAAGTTTCCCTAAACCCTAAACCCCTAAACCCTATCCCCTAGTTTGACTTTGTGGACTTGGGGTTAAGTTCCAATGCAACAGAGGGCCCCACGGCCACGATGAAGGGACCCTAATAACTGAAATAGGGTTTGGGATAAGAGTAGAGAGTGTCGGCGCTGGGGGGCGCTAAACCGTCTGTTCCACTCGCTCCACTCGCTCCATTTGCTCCACTCGCTCCACTCGCTCTACCATTCCATTCGCTCCACTCGTGCCACTCGCTCCACTCGCTCTACCGTTCCACTCGCTCTATCGTTCCACTCGCTCCACTCGCTCCCCGCACGGTACGTCTATACAGAGTGAGTGGCGCGAGTGGCGCGAGTGGCGCGAGTGGAGCGAGTGGCGCGAGTGGCGCGAGTGGAGCGAGTGGAGCAAGTGGCGCGGACGAGGTTTTGGAATGTTGAGAGTCCAGTCTTTAATTTACGGGCCAGCCACTCCACCGTTCCAAAGGTGCCAGTCGTTCCAGTAGAAGCGTGTTCCACTCGTACCACTCGCTCCACCACTCTTTCCTTTAGCAGAGCGAGTGGCGAGTGGCGCGAGCGGCGCGGACGACTTTAATTCTCCCCCCCGCGCGGCCGCAATGTAAGAGTATAGCTACACAGGGACTCTAAGGGTATAACCATTGCAAATAATATCGAATAAACTACGCAGCCCCCTGTTTAAACCGGCAAGAGCACAGGGTCATGGAAACCTAAAATCGCCGCAATATCTTGGGGCACAGGCCGTAGTGGCTTCCTAATCCGTAAACATCAAATCCTAAACCGCAGGGTGATTAGCCTCCAGGGTTTAGGCTTAAGTGGATTAGGCTCTCGGGTTTGCCATGCTCTATACCCACGTCTGAGCAAGCGGCGGACAGCAGGAGAATCGCAAAGAGCATCTGGGCCTCAACCGTGCGGCGCCATGCTTCACAGGAAGCACCGAAACCCTAAACCCTAAACCCCTAAACCCTAAACCCTAAACCCCTAAACCCTAAACCCTAAACCCCTAAACCCTAAACCCTAAACCCCTAAACCCTAAACCCTAAACCCCTAAACCCTAAACCCTAAACCCCTAAGCCCTAAACCCTAAACCCCTAAACCCTAAACCCTAAACGGTAGGGGTTCCGGTTTGGGGCGGGCTTTGGGCAGTCAGGGCTTTACATTGAAGGGCCTGGGGGTTCGATATCCACTACTTGGAGGGTCGGGGGACTTAGTAAGGGCTCCTTTCAAGGGGATTCTAAGGGTTCCCTTAAAGGGCTCTATAAGGGTAGTATAGGGTTTAGGGTTTAGGGTTCAGGGACTTAGTAGGTAGGTAGTAAGTAGACTTATAAGCACCCTAAAAGGGACCCGAATTGGGGTTATGGTACTTATAAGTCCCCAAAATAACCAGTTCCTAAGTCCCCCCGACCCTCCAAGTATCAGCCACTGTCAGGGCCAAGTTCCGCACAAGCGGTGCCATTCTTCGGTTGGAGTTCCACTGCTCCAACATGTCAACCAGCCTGGCAAAGCAAAGATGAAAGGCAGGCTGCACATTGAATCATGCTTTACTCCAATCTGGGTCGCAAGTTAAGGGCACAGAGAAGTAGCTTTGAATGGGCATCTGATTAGACCAGGAAGAAGACTGAAAAAGCATCCGAATTTGCCACCTCTGCCGGGACAGCTCAAGGAATGAGGCTGCGTCTGTGGCCATTAGTAACCCTATGTACCCTCACGACCACTTCACATATGGCAAACAGAGCCGAAGCTAAACAGCAGCGAGCCCGGAACCCCTAATTAGTCCCTGTCAGTCTTGAACGCTAAACCCACTACCCCCAGAGCCTAAACCCTACACCCAAGCCCTGAACCCTTAAACCGTAGACCCCTAAACCTTCCAACCCTGAACCTTACCCTTCCTCTGACACTTTAAACATGCCCTGCGGGGCTGCTCCAGCTGCGGGTCGGTCAGGGAAAGCACCTGGTTTGAAAGTTTTGGGTTGAGGGTTTAGAGGTTTAGGGCTTAAGGGTTTAAGGGTTCAGGGTTTCGGGGTTTGGGGCTTAAGGGTATAGAGTTTTCGGTTTTTCGGGTTTTGAGCTTTGGGGCTTTAGTGGTTTGAAATTTATCTGTAAGGCCCAAGGGCTTTTCAAGGTCTCTGGGGTGCGACGCAGGGGTTCTATGCGATTCTCTACAAGGGCTCTAGAAGGGTGTTATCAGGGGGCGCTTCAGGGGCTAAGAGTTCTCAAAGTTAAGGCGGTGGGGTCCAATTTGCTCAGGGATTCAGAGGGCGTACCCAGAGACTCCAATATCCCTTATTTAAGGAATAGACCTTAAAATATAGTAGGGTTCCTAATATGATTTAAGGAATATTCCTTAATTAAGTGATATTGGAGTCTCTGGGTAAGGCTTGAGGGCTTGAAGGGTCGTTGAGGGCTTAGGGCCTTAGGGGGCTTCAAGGTCGAAGGTTCCGGGTGTTCGGCGAAGTTGGGAGCTTAGGAGTTAAGCCTAAATAAGGGTGCTTTTTATGGGTTCTCTAGTTCATTGTTGGGATAGGATGAAAAATCTTAATGTATATTCTTTATCGGGTTTAAGTGTTTAGGGTTTTGGGTTTAGGGTTTAGGGGTTCAGACCCCGACCGCATCTGAATCCAAGTTCCAGCCTAAGCCTGCAGAGTCCCTACCGCTTGAAGCCTGAATCACCCTGAACCCTTTCTGGCTGAATATCGAACTGCAACCTAGTGGCGAAACTCTGAACAAGACACCCCCGAAGCTCAACAAATACGAACCTGCCTGAAAAATTCAGCCTGAACGTCAAAAAACTGAAGCCTAAACTCTACACAACCCCTATAGTAGCCCTTATAGGCACCGTTGTAGAACCCTCGTAGTAACCCTTGCAGCAGCCATTTACAGCAGCCCTTATTGAAGTCTCCATAAGCAAGTTTATACAACTCATAAAAAAGCCGTGCAAACCACCGCATGCACCCCGAAACCCAAAATCAGACTAGAAAATTCCTGCAATGTAACACCTTCCTTTCTAAACACTAAACCCTAAGCTCTGAACCCCAAACCTGAAGTCCTGAACCCTAAACCCTAAACTCTGAACCCTCAACCCGAAATCCTAAACCCTAGACCTAAACTCCACCCATATAGACTATAGATCCCTTATAGATCCTTTTGAAGGAACCCTAAACCCTTAAAGAAACCCTTAGGACCCTTATAGTTCCCTTGAAAGGAACCCTAAACTTTTAGCTCTCTTACGGAGCGCCCATCGTCGGAGGTCGATGTCAGCATTTGGAGCATCCTCGGCTGCCTGAGAAACTTTCTCCGGCTCCGTGAAGGCTGGGGGTTTAGGGTTTAGGGTTCCTTTAAAGGGATCTACAAGGGTACTATAATGGGGTTTAGGGTTTAGGGGTAAGGGTTTTGGGTTGCGTACAAAAAAGGGCCGACTCAGAATAAAACATATATGTCTAATACTCTCTCGGGCTTTATATGAACAAAAATCAAAAATAATTCCTAAGGAGACTATAGAATAGGGTATACGGGCCTCGAGCAAATATCTGCGTGGAAGGGCTGGCTTGTGGAGGCCCTGGGGGCAATGGGTTTCGAATTTTTTAAGGGTTTTTGAAAATGCTTTGAAGGCTTTTGAAAAAATTAAGGATGATTGAAAAGGTCTCCAGGTGAGGTGTAGCGTTTAAGGTTTGAGGTGTAGGGTTTGCAGGGGTACAAGGGTTACTACGAGGGTGCGAGCACACCGGGCGCCGTGGCACTGCATTCTTAAAAAGTTGTAGGGAATGGAGGTTTTGACATAATTCTCCAAAACAACCGTTGTTGTGGCGCCGGCGTGAACTCCTTGAAGGAACCCTAGTCTAATGCGTCTAATCATTAAGTAAGGGATCTTCAGGGGTCTACAGTAGGGTTTCAAGCCCCCAAATCAAGCGCAGGGTGAGCGTCTTGGCCCGCGACAACCGCGACGGTGCCATCCTTCGACCGGGCACGTGAGAGTTGTTCCAGATCGGTTTTGAGGTTTAGGGGTTATGGGGTTCCCCGAAAGACACTCGATAGAGTTGAAGTTTATAGAGATGAGGACCCCGAAGCGGGATGGCAATTTACAACAAGCCCCAAATATTCATCTCAGAAGTCTCTACGTCCCCAAACTACAGGAACACAAACACCCCTTGACTAAGGATCCCGACTGTAAGTTGAGAATCACCATTCCCTCAACACAACTGACACTGCTAAAATGCTGCCGCTGCGGGCTGGCACTTCCTGCCAGACTACAGGTACGTTTCAGAGGACATCTAGGCTGGCTCGGGGTGCGCACGAACATCATGATTCAGAGTCAAAGCATATGTAGCAAAACTACGTGACACGCAAGTCCTTGCTTACCTGACTGACCGTATTGTCAGCCTTCTGTGAGAGCCCCATGGAAGCATCTTGATCCCCAGCCCCGAAACTTCCTTGCTTGCTGATATTGTTGGAGCGTGTTTCCACCCATCCAGTGCTCGGCTCAGCTTCCTTACCGATTGCAACACGGTACATGTACCGGGACCGACATGCACATCACATGGCCCCATGCGGGTGGGTCAGGCTTGATAGGAAGTGGAACCTAAACCTTACACCCTAAACCGAAATAAACCCTTCAGATGCAGACTATTTTGGCAGAGGCATGCGAGGGCGACACTGTACAATCTGCACCTCGTCTCGTCACCATCTGCAGCTTACTCTTCAAGGTCCAACTCAACAAGCTGCTCTGCCAGTCGCAATGCATAGTCGCGCCCGTGGATTCCATTCTCCAGGGAGCCAGCCCAATCATCACACCATCCCTCGCCATGGAGGGCGCCTACAATGGCGCCCACCATCGAGGCGGTCGTGTCTGTGTCACCGCCCAGGTCTACGGCTGCCTGTACCGCACGCTTTGGGTCCCTGTAATGGCGACAGACCAGCCAGAAAACACAGGGGGCCATGTGAATGCTGGCAAGCTGGAAGCCCAAACCACTTCCAGGCCTCTTGTGCTTGTTGAGGATTGGGCCCAAGATCTTCTGGTCGTCCGCATCGTCCATGTTCACAAAACGAACAGCACGAGCCAGAGAAACCATTGCATCTCGCATGTCATCAGAGTGGCAAAGACCCAGAAGACCAGGGAGCAGCTCGTTCGGGTCAAAAGTGCCTGGGTCGTGGAGGAGGGAATACTGCACCGCAGCGGCCTGAAGCGCAGCGAAGTCGACAGCCTCGGGATGGCGATGTGTGCCCAAGATCGTCTGCTCCACTGCTTTCCGAAGCGCCGCATGGCTTGCATGGCGGTAAGCAAGGGCCAGCGGAGAGATTCGCATGGCTCCCCCATTGGCAAAGGAGCCGCCCTCATAGCGGAAGTAGGGAGGGAGGCCCGTCTGCTCCACAGCGACGCCGGCCAAGCAGGCCGCGTTCACTTGCTTCGCAGTTGGCGGGGAGCCCCGAAAGTGCTCGTTGTCACGGAAGAACTCGGCACAGCTCCGTGCGACATGCCCTGCATCGGCTCTGCCACACTCCACCAAAGAACCTGCTACTGCAAGGCAGGCACAGGTGTCGTCGGTATACATCCCGACGCGGCCACATTGATCCAGTATCTCCTGGGGAAGCTCGATCCCTGGTGGCACGAACGCCATGTCATCAACACCACGGGCCAAGTGAAAGGGACCTTTGAGCGTCTTTCCTGGTGAGATGTACGTGCCCATGTGAACCGCTCGCACGAAGCCCTGAACAAGAGGTGTCTGCCATTCCCCCTGCGCAAGCTTCCGAATGCGCTCCTGGCTGTACCCCTCAAAGGCGGCACCCAAGGCATCCCCCACCATGATCCCGAGCATGCAGCCCCTGGCGCGCGACCGCAGTGCCTCGTCTGCAAGCATCATCTTCGAATGCCCCCAAAGCAACGGCAGTCTGCCTAAAAAGTATACCAGGGCCTCCCCTCGCACGTTGTTGATGAGTTCTATGTATAGGAGATGTATAAGGAATTCTGGTTCAGACGTGGACCTGAAACTGGAGCCGGCAACAGGGAGCCCAGGGGAGTGATCCATCACCATCACGGGATGATGATGATGATAACGGTGATGATGCAGATGTAGATGAAGCTGCAGATGAAGAGGAAGATGAAGATGAAGATGTGATAAACACGGTGAAGAAGGTGATGATGGTGATGATGATGAGGATGATGAGGATGATGAGGATGATGAGGATGATGAGGATGACAATCATGAGGGTGATGAGGAAGATGAGGATAATGAGGATGATGAGGATGATGAGGATGAGGATGCAGAGAATGCTGAGGATACTGTGGATGATCAGGATGCTGAGGATGATCAGGATGACGATGATGAAAATGATGCTGACGACGATGATGATACTGATGGCCGCGACTACCGGATGCTGATGATGAAAATGACGATGACGATGATGATCATGACAATGATAGCGATGATGGTGATGGTGATAGACATAAAGTACATGATGACCACTAAAACCTGTAAAGCTTCAAATCTTATTGAGACCCGGTACATCTTAAAATGGACACCAACAAAGACCCAAGGAAGTCAAGGAAGCCGCCGTGAGATTTCAGATACCCTCCCTCATCAACAAAACCCTTCCGAACCCCCGTAGCGAAAGCCTTACGAAGCTCAATCACTCAAAACTTGCTGTTCAAGCCCCAAGCCTGAACCCAAAACAAAGCCACAAACCGTAATCAAAAACCGCCAGTCCCGAAAAGCATTTACAGAGTACCCCTAACTCCAAAACAGTGCTTGGTTGTTGCCCTTCCGGCCTTGCTACTCTTCTGCCGGTCGCCCTTCCGGCCACGCTGCATGCCACGCTTCGTCCGGCCTCGGCGCACTTTGCTTTAGTTGGAGGCTTAGTTTTCTTTAGGGTTTGGGGTAGTCCTTCTTTGTGTTTTGTTGTGGGGTGTGTCTGAGGGTTCAAAGGTTTGTGCTTAGGAACGACGGCTTGAGTTCAGGATCAGAGTCACGTTTTTGGTTTCGGGTGTGCGGTGTGGGATTCACCGCTTCGAGTTTGGGGCTTAAGTTTCAATGATGGGTTTTGGGGGTTTAACCTTTGGGTAAGACTTTCGGATGCATGCATGCATGCATGCATGCATTGTTTGTGCAGGTTTGTTTGTATACGCAAACAGACTTACTGGTAGGTCGATGTGCTCGCATGCATTTCTTGCTCGCATGTTGGTAAAATCTACAACTGTCATTCTCTGCATCGGCTTCCTTATCGTGATGCCAGAATCTAGACATGTCTATTCAGACTCTCGACACATATTATACATGTATGTATGTACATAAAGATAAATGCATGAAAGAAGTATGCAGTACGTGCGTATATGTATGCTCATACGCGTGTGCGTGCGTGTGGCCCCGACTTGAACCCCCAAACCCCCAATCCCTAAACCCTCAACCAAGGCCCCTTCATACATGAACCATCATAAAACCCATAGAGGAACCCGTAAAGGAACCCTATAGGGATCCTGAAAGACTGAGATGCTTGGCTAAGGCAAGAAGAGCCCATTGGGCTTCTCATGTCTGGGTTTCGGGAAAAAGGGTGGAACCTTATTTTTAAAGGGATCTATAAGGGTTCCTTTAAGGGCTCCTATAAGGGATCTATAGGATTTAGGGTTTTAGGGTTTGAGAGTTTCCGAAAATTAGGGGGGGGTACCTTATTTTGGTGGTCCTTTTAATAAGGATCCTACTTTGTAGGCTACTATACAAGGGTCAGATATTTTGGGAAAAGGGGTGCAGCGCAATTGAGGCTTATTCGTCCAAGGCTTCTGGGGGTTTTTAGGGTTTAGGGTATAGGTGCCCTATGAACTCCGAGGTTCGGGGGCCGAACTCGACCCCTGCGTTTTGCATATTTCAGGTCCGCCGCCTCCACGACATCACGATGAACTCTGGCGCTTAGGGGCGTTGTCGTAATTCGAACCCTGAGAAACACCAGCCCCTTTCCTTTAACAAATCTATAAAATCCAATCCAAAAAAACAAAACCAAAAAAAACAAAACCAAAAAAAACAACAAAAACAAAACCAAAAAAAAATCAAAAACAACATTATTTCAGCGCTCTTCCAGAATAACAATAAAAATATACACGAATGGGAGAGTTCTGAAAGAATGTTTTTTTTGTCTTTTTTGGTTTTGGTTTTTTTGGTTTTGTTTTTTTGGATTCGACGCTTTGAGACACATTGGCTACTTGAGAGACAGTTCCATGAACCACTGCGCGTTCCAAAAGAAGCCGATGCGTGTCAGTCGTGTGCTGCATCACATGTATCGCTCATGCATCACTGGTTTCATTCATGCCGTATACAGTTTGTAAATCGAGGTGTTCCGTACTCAAGCCTAGTAGAACCTAGTTCTATTTTCCGGTGACTCATATCTGCACAGCAGTCGCGATTCATGACAAGCTTCCGGTGGCCTCCTCAATACTTATTAAACTATTTTGGTTGGAAAGGACTGTAGTGATACAAAATGAAACTAACGTGCAACCTCTCACCAACTGAACTAGTATCATTCCAACCACTATATTAAGTAATCTCCTTAGTCTTGTACTCTACTAGGCTTAATTAAACATTAGAAACCACTGAGATGTAATGATGTAAGCCTTCACATAACATCACTAGAACCCACATGAAAAACTTAGACAACTTGATTTGTATTAACCTCTAGACACAGCTAACCTAGACCATTCTTGCCAATGCCACTACCTATAGCTGTTCATCTCGTGTTAGTAAGTCATTTTAATACTGCACAAGACAATACATATAATAGTCCTAATGGGGTAGCATTGGTTGTACTTAATGGTAAGACATAATGAAAAATGCAACAACATAATAAGAGTCATGAAAATCTATATCAATAGCAGCACTAATTACCAAGTATAATACCGGTTGAACCACCTATTGTAAACAGACTATATGAAAGATATACTATAACAGTTAACATTAGTTGTGAAATAGTATCAGTAGACATGCATTACTTGTCCGTTCATCTCGTGTTAGTAAGTCATTTTAATACTGCACAAGACAATACATATAATAGTCCTAATGGGGTAGCATTGATTGTACTTAATGGTAAGACATAATGAAAAATGCAACAACATAATAAGAGTCATGAAAATCTATATCAATAGCAGCACTAATTACCAAGTATAATACCGGTTGAACCACCTATTGTAAGCAGACTATATGAAAGATATACTATAACAGTTAACATTAGTTGTGAAATAGTATCAGTAGACATGCATTACTTGTCCAGGGATGTAGAATACCAACTACATGATCGTAACGAACAAGTTGGTAATGATAATATAACCAATGTATTAACCTGTAAAGTTAGCTCTTGTCTCACTGTTGCATACTAGTTGTAAACATATGATGTGTCCAAGCTAATTTATCCTAATAAACAAAGACAACTCATAGCCTCATAGCTCAGGTTATCCGATTATAGACAAGTTAACCAAAGACACTGAACATGCAATAAGCCATTATTGTTGAACTATTGGTTATCGAATGCTGGAAGGGTAGACTTCTGGATTCCCAAAGAACTAAATCAAACATTGATAGAACATAGCATCACCTCCAAATGTGAACCAAATGCTATTGTATTAAGTGCATATCTGTTAATAACCTTAATTAGTGAAGCATCGGACCTGTGAAGATTGGTAGAACTATTAATAAGATAGATGATGTAGTCCTAACTGATCTAGTTATATGTTGGTTATGTAGCTTGACATCAACCTATTGATTGCACAATGTGACAAGTAATACAGAAATTATATAGATGTTACTGTTGATGACAGAGCTGATATAGTTAAACTATAGATAATAAGATTGATACCGCGCACATACACACACACAATTCTCAGCATATTCCTAAAACATGCAAAACGCAGGGGTCGACTTCGACCCCGTAACCCCCGAACCGAGGTTCGAACTCCTCATAGAAGGCGTAGAGTCCCGGCAGGCTACGCCACAATCCGAAATTCAGAACCCAGAGCCAGCACCCAAAAAAGGCTCACAGAACCAGCTCTGACCAAGACATCGGGCGATGGGCTGATTTTTCTGGGTGCAGTTTAGGGCGGGAGGTTTGTCAGCCCAAAAGAACACAGATGCGGTGCTATTTTTCAGTAGACCTCTTGTGGGCACTTCTCTAGCAGCTCTGTCGTCAAAGGCTCCAGGAGAGGGCCAAACCTAGGCTGCAGAAGAGTTCGTGAAATTGACGCTTCGTGTTTAGAGGTTGAGGTGTTACCCTATGGATTGCTGCAAACCGTGGCGATTCGGGTTTCTACTCTTCAAACTGGTTGCCTTAGGCTGTGGTGTTTCGGGATCGGTTTGGATTTCGGGTCTAGGTTTGCTGCGATATCTTCGGACATGTTGCTTTTCACTGTCAGCAGCTCTTCTCGCTCCTCTGGGCAGTATGTGCATATCTGCACGCACGCTCTTCCGAACAGGGTTTCTTGTTGTGGGTGCTCTCGCATATCACAATCAATATTACCTAATATTCAGGGTGCCCAAGAATGGACCAGAATTTTGACAACCACCCGTACAGTGCCTGCAAATGGGTACTATCTGCGTCTAGCAAGACGATACAGGGTTTAATAATGTTTTCTTCTGATGTGGCTCGTGGTGGTTGGTTCTAACAGGATGCTACTAGGAGACTGCCACAGAAGCTGCGGAGGGTTTGTTGAGGTTTCGGGTTTGCGGTCTTTGTACCTAGGACGGGTGGGAATGGGATGAAGTGTGCTTCGACAGTGTCGGATGTACACACGGAGACGGAGAAGGAGAGGCATACATCGGGAAGGCGATGGTGTAACTGTAAGCCGAGACAAGAACAGAATCATCCAAATAGAGGACACTAGACAGACATTGACATGTTCAGTAAGCGCAACGGGGGACCGAAAGGGAAAAAGAGAAGCAGAGAAGCAAGTACGACCCTCAATGACCATGCCCTAACACCAGAGCCCTGCTTACTGAACCCTATACCATCCTCGGCTCATGACCTCCAAAAAAACGGATCCCTGACTGAACCCATGGAGAGCCCCGCATTACTTGACCATTCATCCTCCCTAAACCCTAAACCCTAAACCCTAAACCCTAAAAACCCTAAACCCTAAAAACCCTAAAAACCCTAAACCCTAAACCCTAAACCTGAAGCCGAGACTCTCCTCGTGTTCAAGCAGCATCCAGCCCCCCGCCGCCTCCCCATCCGCATAGACACGGCGCCACTGTCGGCTGGAATCGAACTCGTAAAGCTCCACCACGCTGCCTTTTAGGGTTTAGGGTTTAGGGTTTTTAGGGTTTAGGGTTTAGGGTCTAGGGTTTGGGTTTTAGGTAGGGGTTGTAGCTTTTAAGTTAGCCAGGGGGAACAAAGTATAAACTGTTACAGTCTTTCATAACGGTTGCTTTAAGAAAAAGTACTAAGGTATAGTAGGGGCTTGGGCTCAATATTCAAGGCCATGTCAAGTCCTTGGGCCTTTAACATCTGTAACTGAGGTGCTTACAACAAGAGCCTTGGATTTGGGATTGGTCGTTCGAGTCGCGGGTCAGGGTTTTTACTTTCCTTGATGACGACGTTCACCTAAACCCTAAACGTTAGACCCATGTTTGCATTGAGGTTTGTGGTTTCTCGCGGCCTGGCAATTGATGCCAGGATTAAGGGAAGCAAGTTGAGGTATGAAAATCCCGGGGAGCTCAACACCCCTGCAGCCTCTGTACAGGAAAGTCACAACTAGATGACCATGGTGATGATGCTGGTGCTGATGACGATGCTGATGACGAGGATGATGAAGAGTATAGCTGTGTTTTAAGTCTCTCGATGAAACTGCCTTTCCT